ACAGAACCGAGTTAACACTGCTCTCCAGGAGCCATTTTATTATCATCTCCTACTTCTTATTCGGCAGGCGCTAGGTAGCTCCAGCGTGCAGCACAAGTTGGCCACGATCTACATCCTCCCCTACTTCAGTGGTTCTCAACCTGTGGCTCATGGCTCCACTGGGGTCACATATGCATAGCAGACACGCTGCGTACCAGGAATTTAAATTAAGATTCTTAACAGTAGCAAAATTACAGTTATGACATAGCAGCAGAATAATTTTATGGTTAAAGGTCACCACAGCATGAAGAACTAACTGAACTCAGGGTCAAAGCAGCGGGAAGGCTGAGGACCTCTGTCCTGGATGGACAGCTGTGCTGCTGTGCTGTATGGCTTCATTCCTTCCAATCTGGTCTGGACCACAGAAGTTCTCTAGTGAGAACCCCTGATCACTTCCAAATGGATGTCTCATTACATCCCCTCTCCGTTTAACCTTAGAAAGAAACAAGCTCTCTTCTCAAGACTGTGGATCCGGTGTAGCAATGCAGCCTCTGGCTAGCTCCTCCCTCCCTGTTCTAGGACTTTCTAGGACTTCTACAGGCCAGAGCACTCGATCCTGGCTGGCTCCTGCCATGACTCATAAGTCATAACTCAGATGCCACCTCTATTAAAAAGTCATCCATGGCTATGCAGCTAAGCATTCAGGAACCGCGGTTGGCAAACTAAATGCCAAGTTGCCCCAGTATGCCAGCAGAAGCTTTATTTAAACTTGAGGGAAACGGTGATACCCAATGTTCGTCAGACACCCAGACCAAAACAGAAACAATATGGTGAGGACTTCTCAGAGAGGCCAGAAACAATCAGAACACACTGCATTCAGGGAGATACTAGCTGCGACACACAGCCGTGGAGGCAAGAATGGGCCGGTATGCAGCAGAAAAACACTAGTACAGCTAACCCGGCTTCAGAAAGAAGGGACGGCAGCAGGAAGTTCATGCTATTACCTTTACTGTTTTACATCTGGGTGAATTCTGAAGATTTTGCTACCAACACAATGCTGGCAGATACTAAATGGGACTTCAAGACAATTTTATGAGTAGCACTACATACTTTCAGGAAAATTCAGAAGTCCACATTTAAAGTATTTGTTTATTTCTAGTTATGTATATGTATGTATACCTGAGTGCAAGTGCCCTCAGGCTCCAGAGAGGGACCCTATCCTGGAGTTGCTTATAGGCACTTGTGAGCTACATGAATGGCGGGCGCTGAGCTGGGGGTCCTGTAAGAGCAGTGTGCACTCCTGACTGTGGAGCCATCTCTCCAGCCTCTGGCATTTTTAAAATGTGAGTGGCTCATGGTGGGGATAAGTGTAGCGCTCCAATCCTGGGAGAAGCTGTGGAGACAGCTCACCGGGGAGCACAGGACTTGAGTGTGAATCTCATTAAAAAGCAGAAAAGCCAGGCGTGGTACTGTGCCATTCTAATTTCAACACTGGGGAAAGGGAAAGTAGAGACAGGAGAATCCCTGGGCTCGTGGGGCAGTCAGCTTCACTTCTGGCAAGTTCCAGACCAATGAGAGACCTTGTCTCTCAGATGCAGGCCGCATCGGCGGACGGCACCCGAGGTTGCCCGGTGCCCTGTACGCATGCCTAAGTGTACGCATGTACTCACGCACAGCTGTGGTGTATGGAATCAACCAGCTCAGGCACTGAAAGCTGAAAGCTCAGGAAGTACTGGGGGTCTGGAGGGAGAAATGATATTCACTAGCTTCCTCCAGGCGCCATGTGAGATAATGTGTGTGGTGAGATCTGAGAAACCAGACACATGCTATTTCCTCCTGCGTTATTTGGGGAGGGCAGATGCAGAGATCTAGAAATTTCACGAGGCCTGTTTCCTGAGTCATCTCCGGCTACAGCCTCAACATGGAATCCTTCACCAGGCAACTTAGCAAATTCTCAGAAAATGAAATTTTGGAAGAGGTTCAAGCAAAAATAGGGAAAGAATGAGAAGTCTGAAGAAGAACAAAAGAAGTCAGGGAAACAGGATTAAAAAAAATTATTTGCTTATTGAGTATACGTGTGTAAATTCATGATATGGGTATGGGATCAGAGGACCTTTAATCGAGGTTCAAAGGTTAAACCCAGGTCACAAGGCTTGAGTAGCAAGCAAGTGCCTTAAGCCTTTGCACCTTTTCACTGGCCCTAGTATTATTTTTTTTTTCTGTTTCTGAACCCAAAGAAACCCCATACTCCCCAGGAATAGCTTAAAAGTGGAGCACTAAACAAATGCTCCCATCCCAGCCAGCGTGTTCTGAAGAGCCTGTGGCTTTACTGTGTGGACCACACACGTGGTTGCTTGGACAGGAAAACGGTGACTGTCCCGCACTGAAGATTAAAGTATTAGTCCCAGAAGCCAAACTAAAGTCCAGACTTTGCAAAACCAAACAAATTTAAGTTAAAAGTTTTGAGACCGTGATGTACCGAAATAAAGCTAAACACGAAACCAAGAGTGAAAACAAACAAACAAACAAACAAATGTACTGCTGAAAAATCCCCCTTTCAGTCCTTCACCAGAAGACTTGGAATAGCGCTGTGAGGGCCCAGCCTTCCTCCAGCTTCACAGCCAGCCAGCATGTGAGGGAAGAGTGGATGAAATGACCAACCAGGCCACAGGTAAATCATAATAAAATGATTTTATTACCTCCTCAACTTGGGTGGTGCCAAGAAAGTTAAAAAAAATACACCTCCCCTCCAGTCTTCTGGGTTTATTGTCTCTACAGTGTCAGGACATTCTGCCTTAGTTTCTGGTACCATTGATGATGCAGTCGAAGTGTTAAATCTGACCTTTGGAAATGACTTAGTTTGGCTAAGTTTAATCAGGATGAGAAACGTTAATATAGATCCCTATGACTTCCTAGCTGCCCCTCGTCTCCTTTGAAGTCTCACGTGAAGTCTGAATGTCTGATTCTTGCTGCCCTTTAGAGGTTGAACTGTGTATTAAAATCAGCTTTTCTTCTTTTCAATGGATTGTTAAGTATACTTACACCAGTGAACTGTATGCTATGATGGCTAAGGTATAAATGTGAGCTACATACAATTTAAAATGCTATTACAGACCTGCTCATCAATATTCATGGAATGTAACAAGTCCTTGTACTTCATCATTTTATTATGATTTTAGTCCAATTCAAATAGTTTTGTTTTTTGCTTTTGTTTTTGGCACAAGTCTGTCCTGCTATTTGACCCTAGAGAGTTATTAAAAGGCTTGGAACACAATCATCTATGGCAAATGGACCTTCTTCCCAGAAACAACAAAAATAAGTTTTGGATTGGCACTAAGACTATCAGAGCACGTAAGGTTGGCAGAGAATTTTCTTCTTCTTTTCCCCTTTGAGACAGGGTCTCCCCATGTTCCTCAGGCCGGGATAGACTCCTGATGTAGCCATGGTTAGCTTTTAACTCACTGCTGTCCTCTTGCTATAGTTCCTCTGTCAAGTGCTGGGGTTTAAATATGCCACACTCAGCTGAACAGAGAATTTTAGAAACAATCTAATACCCCTGATATAATTTCAACTTCTTAAATATTTGCTAGGACTGAGGATGTAGCTCAGCTGGTGGAGCCCTTGCCTAGCATGAATGAAGCCCTGGGAACAGGCTCCAGCACCACAGACACCAGGCATAGTGATTATGCCTGTGATCCCAGCAACCCAGAAGCAGAAGGAGGGCTGGGGGTTCAAGTCAATTTTCAGTCACATCTTGAGTTCAAGGCCAACCTGGGCTATATGACACCCTGTCTCAAAGAATAAATTAAAAAAAAAAAAAAGAGGAGGAGGGGTGTTTGTTTGTTTTTTTTATAACTAATTTAGTTTATAGCTATGTGATCAGTTTAGGAACTAAAACTTGAAATAGAATAAAATAAGGCACAGTTTCATTATGGTTCTTGAAAGAAAAATTTCATATTATATTCTGCTCACGCTTCCCTCTCTCCTCAACTCCTCTCAGATCCTTCCCACCGCCCTAACTGCATGCCCTTTAAAAAACTGCCCAATTAAAAAAAAAAAAAAGAAACTTTGACACAATTCCACAAAAGCATGAAAAAATGGAAACCAAAATATTACAAAGACCAATAAGACAAAAGAAAAAAAAAAGAAAAAAGTGCAAACAAAGCAATATGAGACAAAAATTCTGCAAGAACACCAGTGAATTCCCTTTATGTTAGTTCACCACTCCTGGGCATAGGAGCTACCCTGGCGTGTGCTAAATATACCCCAGTGAGATTGAAGGAAACTAATTTTCCCTTCACCAGTAGGCATCAATTGCAGATAGCTTCTGGGTCAGTGGTGGGAGCCTTTGTTCGCTTTCCAGCTCTGGGACCCTATTTGGCTTGAACCTGGGCAAGCCCTGTGCATACTACACCAGTCTCTGTGAGTTCATACGCGCAGTCCTGTTTCATCTGGAAGATACTGTTTCCTTCGAGTTATCCATCCCTTTTGCTTTGACAATCTTGCCTTCTCTTCCGCTTAGATCCCTAAGTCTTAAGTGGAGGGCACTGATATATAAGTATAATTCATAACCATTCATGTGTTAAATAGAAGGTACAATTCTGGAACTATGTTTTTGAAATGGGGCAGGAGGGGACTGAGCTGTGGAACCAATTCAAAGCTAATTGCTGCTCAGCATCTGTTCTCAGCTTTGTTTTGCAATAGTCTCTGGCATTACTTAAATGCCTGGGGAGAAATACAGCTTTGGTTCTAAGTGAAATAATGGCAGTGGGTGAGGAAGAGCTAAAGGGATATGGCTCTGCCTCTGAGCTCTAGAGAGGCTTAGCCCAAGTCACTCACACATACGGAAACATCAAGTGGACACATCCCTTCCCTGCAGAGGCAGGGCAAGTCCCTGCCCACACAGCAGACTCTCTCAGGCTTTATTTGCTGCTAATACATGGACCAGAGGGGAATCTGCCCTGAATCTGACCTGAGGGGAATCTTCCTAACATCCCATAACTGGGTCTCAGGACACGGAGATGAAAGTACTTATCTTGGTTGCTGCTAGGCTGCTGCTTCTGCCGGCCACTGTTTGCCAAAGTGGTAAGTCCCCTTCTTCTGGAATAGCACAGGGGTGGGAGAGTAGACGGTTTGCACTGGGAGTCAAATGAACCTAATTTTCCTGTGACCCCAAAGGCAAAGTTTGATGTTGGGGTTTTGGAAGGTTGAATCATGGAGGCATCTAAAGTTTGTTCCCAAGTCAAACCTTGTCAAAGACCAAGCATTTTCTACTAGCAGTTATAAATTTGTGGCAGAATCAAGACTATCTACGATTAAGTAAAAAAACTTTGTTTTTTGTTTTGTTTTGTTTTTGTTTTGTGAGAAGTGTCTTCATGTGTGAAATTTCCTGATGTAGAAAAGATTGTGCTTTTTCAAGGGATTAAAAATCTTTTTAAATTTATCAATCTTATAATTTCTGTTGAGGCACCAGTGAGGAAAAATAGTGCCAGGAAAGGTCACGTGGTTTCAGCAGCCAGTGATGTTAGCAGTGTTTCCAGGGTTAAATACCTTTTTTCTTAACCTTTCAGTACCAGGGGGCTCTCTCCCCCTCACATATATATATGTATATATTTATATGTCTCTGGGTATATATGTATTCATATACAAATAGATATGTACATTTATATGGTACGAATATGTATAATTTGTTACATAGAATTTTAGAAATAAGATCTCCCAAATATAATTATTTTATCTTGACTATGTCTCCTATTGTACCTGTCACATTGTGGTAGCTTGTAACTTTTGGACTGTTCTGAAATAAACTACTTTGAGACAGGGTGTATACAGGGCTCTCTTACTGTCAAGTCACAGCAGTAGGAGGCAGAGGTGGCACGAAACTAAAATTAAACAAAAGGCAACCCTCTGCAAGAAAATGATCCTTAACTTGAGGTCCCTGCAGAGAGCTTAAGGGACACCATTGGGCTTGTAGAAGCAGTGTTTGGCCAGGGCTAGGGTTTCTCTGAGAGGATAAGCCAACACACTGAGCCCCAGTTGCAAGGAAATGAGTTCTGTGAGTGGGTTCCATCCTGATGCTAGTGGCACCTGGGAGAAGAGAAAAGTGGGGACTTATAGGGATGGATGGGGCATTGGGTTCGTCCTCAGCCATGGGGAAATGTGATGGGAAAACATGTCACCAAAAAGCTAAAGGCCATTCTAGCTGAAGCCTTCTTCCAGGCTGAGAGCACTTCCGAAACATTGCACCAAACAGAAACCAAAGAATCCTAGTTGTCAGTTTTTGTTTTTTAAACAAGGAATACTGTTCTTAAGGAAAGCCAGGTTTTGACTAAGGCTTCAGCGGGGCCAGACCTGAAATTGCATGGGAATAGTCCCTGTTGGGCGTGTTTACAGACACTCTGTATTGCCCAGTCTCAGGAATCTTCTGAAAACTCACTAACAATTCCAGCAGCTTTCTACCGGACCTTGGAGGGAAGAAGTCTGTATGCTCCATCCCACCCAATTTCCTTTACAGATCAGGCTTGACCTCACCCAGCAGGATTTAAGTGGCTGAGCTCAAATGTCACCGGACATTCCTCTAAACACAGACACACAGAATGCTACCTTCCAAATTATTCTTTCCTTGAACAACACCGGGCCACCTTCATTTCCCAGTTATTATGACAACACTGACTCCACCTGATATGTCAAAGTCAGTCTGTGCAAACTCTGAGGTCGGAAGGAGTTTGGATTACCCCTGGGAGCAAAGGCCAGAGATTAAACCAGGAAGAGAACCTGGTTGTGAATGAGGACAGACCATCAGCCAGGGATATTTAAAGTGGAGGATCCAGGGCCCTGTGGTAGGGTACTAGCACTTCAGATGGAATGCATGAGGTTTAAGTTGGCATTTGAGGACCTGATTACCATGCACATGCTGAATTGCACCAAGTGTCTCCAGCACATAGCTGATAATGTTTCTTTCATTTAAAAAATTCATTTTGCGGGGCACAGTGTGTCACATGCCTTTAATCCCAGCACATGGGGAGGCAGAGGAGGGATAATCTCTGTGAGTTCAAGGCCAGCCTGGTCTAACAGAGCGTATTCCAGGATAGTTAAGGCAGAGAAACCATCTCTTGAAAAACAAACAAAACCAAACAGTTTTTAAATCCTTTGGTTATCACAGTGATTTCATCTTTTGACTTTTCTCTTTGTCTTAAAACTTGGAATTTCTCCTAAAGCCCATCTTTTCATTCCCTTCTTCCCATATTTCTCCCTAGGCCATCTCTCCACTCCCCCAATTTGAACTACAGCCTCTGTGAAGACTAAGACGTCCACATCTCACATTTGCTCTTGCTTTCGGGAATGCCACAGCCAGCCTTTGAACTGCCTCCTGACATTTTGCAGACTAACATCCCACCAGCTCTCTCCACTCAGCCATACTACAACCTAAGACTTTAGCCAGGGGTGGTGGCACACACTTAGAATTCCAGTACTCGGGGGCCCAGGCATGATGACAAGGCATGTGTGCCCCAAACAAGCCAAACAAACAAGCCACCTACAAGCCTGAGATTTGAATTCCTTTCCCACTTTATTGCCCCTCACTCTCGCCCTATCCACCCTCTTCCTCCAACTCACTTCTAACAGGAACCTCCAGCCATGTTGCTTGAAGAGCCTACTCTACAACCAGATGACACGTCCCTCAGAAGTCTGCATAACCTGGGATTCTCACCTTCACTTTTCTGCAACCTTGGCTCTAGGTCAAGGCTCACCACCCTCAGATTCTGAGCAGTTTGGGAAACAATCCAAGTCTCCCTGCCCCTAATTTTTTACCTTCTCAATCTTCTCTGTCCTGCCACCAAACTTACTTTAAACACAGATCAAAATCACGGTTGTATTAGTTTCCAGTGACGACTGTAATAAATGTTCATATAGTGACGCTTTACATGACGTGGATACACCATCTGATTCCTCTGGAGGTCCAGATTCTTCAAGTCAAGGCATGGTCGGGGCTGTGCTCTTCCAGATACTCACAGAGAGAATCTGCATCCTTGCTTTCGTACAGCCTCAAGACACTGCGCATGCTCCTGGCTCAGAGCTATTTTCTCATTCTTGGAGCCAGCAGCATAGCAATTCCAACCTGACCCTGAGCCTCACCTCACACGTGTAAGGACTTATAAAATTGCATTTAGACCACAGGGCCAAGTCTAGGATTCTGCCCCATCTCCTGATACCCCTTCCACATGAGGAAACATATCAAAGGTTCTAGGAGCTAGTGGGTAGAATCTTGGGCTGGGGGAATGCTCTTGTAGCTACCACAGTGGCCATTCCTCTGCGAACTCTGTGTGCAGAGGGGGTACTGGGGGTCAGTGGTACAACAGCTGTCTAGCATTGAAAATCTGTGTTCAGTTGCTAGTTCATGTGCAGGGGAAAGACTTTTGGGTGAAACCCCAGAATGTATGGAATGTATGAAGAGATCATGGCTCAGAGGATAGTTTAGAGGCCCTTCAGGAATGAATTGTGTGACCTGCTTTTTCAAATTTATCTCTTTGATATACCAGAGTAGATAAGATAGTGCATGTCCATGTATCTTCTCCTCTGGTCTAAGCAACACTTGCAGACAGCAGTGGACGTTAAAGCTTCAAAGCTTGGTAGCACTGCCAGGTAATATGCCATCAACATCTTCAGAATCAACTGACTGGCCCAGCCACCACCATGAGTGAAAGCCTACTTTGAGTAGTAAGGTCTATGTCTGTAGCTTGCTCATTTTGCAGTGACAGCTTGCTTGAATATTCGACTTAGCTAACTATCTGTCGGATACACACACAGCATATTGGCAATAAAACATTTTCCTATAATGTTCCATTGTCCTCTTTTGTTTCATCCAGCACAGTGGTTCTCAACCTTCTTCACACTGTAGCTCTTACATACAGTTCCTCATGTTGGGGTGACTCCCTTACCATAAGATTATCTTCCTTGCTATGTCATAACTGTAATTCTACTACTGTTACGAATTGTAATGTAAATATTTTTGGAGATAGTGGTTTGCCAAAAGGGTCACAACCCACAGTCTGAGAGCTGCTGCTCCAGCCCTGTTAAAAACTCCTGACATGCATAGAGCTGTTGTGTAGTTGTTCTCACAGGAAGGCACAGTACTGGGACATACAATATACACTTTACACACGCCCATGGGTTGAATGATCTATAGTGATTTTAAAAAATAATGACTCCAATTTCTAAAACTAGAAGGATCACATAGCATCAAACATTTCATTTTATTTTTATCCAAACCACAGGCAGGACTTGGTAACAAATCATACGCTCAATTACAGGTGTGAAAAATGTTTCAGACAACTCAACAAAGCTGACCTTGACTATTAAGAGTTTCCATGATGCTCCCTTAAATACTTTCGAAGACTTCCCACTTTCTGACATAGAGGGCTGGACAGGAGCCACCTCAACTGTGAAAATAAAGTGCCCTGAAGAAAATGAGTCAACTCTTCATGTGAACAATGCCAGCATGGGTTACCTGAGGAATTCCTTAAGCACCAAACTGATACCTGCCATCTACATCCTGGTGTTTGTGGTTGGTGTGCCAGCAAACATTGGGACCCTGTGGAAGCTCTCCTCAAACACCAAGTCCATCTGGCTGGTCATCTTTCACACCAACCTGGCCATCGCGGATCTCCTTTTTTGTTTTACGCTGCCATTTAAGATCGTCTACCATCTCAATGGGAACAACTGGGTGTTTGGAGAGGTCATGTGCCGCATCACCACAGTCATTTTCTATGGCAACATGTACGGTTCCATTCTGATCCTCATGTGCATGAGCATCAACCGCCACCTGGTCTTGGTCCATCCTTTCACATATCATAAGCTGCCCAAACGCAAATTCACTTTGCTCATGTGTGGCCTGGTGTGGGTCGTGGTTTTCTTGTACATGCTGCCGTTTGCCATCCTGCAGCAGGGGTATCGCCTCGTCCAGCCAGAGATCACCACCTGCCACGATGTCCACAGTACATGCGAGTCCCCGTCTCCCTTCCAGTTCTGCTACTTCATCTCCTTAGCACTCTTTGCATTCCTCATCCCATTTGTGGTTACTGTCTACTGTTACGCAACTCTCATCCACAGACTTAATGCACAGGATCGGATACGGCTGACGTATATCAAGGCTGCTCTCCTCATTCTGGTGATTTTCACAATTTGCTTTGCTCCCACCAACCTCACGCTCATAATTCACCATGCCAACTACAACTCCACTGACAGCTTGTACTTTATGTATCTCATAGCTTTGTGCCTGGGCAGCCTGAATAGTTGCCTAGATCCATTTCTTTATTTTGTCATGTCAAAAATTGTAGATCAGCTTCCTTCCTAGTCAGAGGACAGGAAAGATCCCTGTAAAAACATACGTGCATGGGCCAACTTGTGCAAGGCACCAACAGCTCAATTTTTAATTTCTACTTTTATTTATTTGTCTTTTGAGACAGGTCTCACTGTGTAGTCTTGGCTGGCCCAGAACTCTCTATTCAGACCAGGTTGGCCTCGAACCCACAGAGATCTGCTGGGGTTAAAGGCATACATAACCAGGCCTGGCCACAGCTCTATTTGTTAAGCTCCTATTAAATAGTGCTTCCAATATAAAATATCATAAAATTATTAGGATTAAAAAATACGTTGTATTTTAAGAATGCCTTAATTTTAAACAAAATTATCATTATTCTCCTTGTGACAACTGACACGTTTCCATTTGCCTTCCTGATTCTCCAAGCTTTAAATTTCCCCTTCCCTCCTGCGAGTAGCATCGGCAACCTGACAACTGAGCATTACTCACGGTTCTTCCCTCTTTTTGGAGAGTTACTCTGTCTTGGTTGTGTCCCTCACTGGGGTCCTGTCTTCATCCACCTGTCTGAAAATGGCTGTCCTCGCTTCCAGGGGAGTCTCATTTTCACAGATCGGGTTAACCTTCCTTTCCCTTGACCCTGCGCTGCTCCTGAAATGACAAACCCTTGGGCAGCTCCCACCGCTGCCTCCCTGATGCCACCTGTGGCGCTCTGCTGCTGTTCAGCACCAGCTTGCTCACTTCCCCACAAACTCACCTTCCCCTCCCTGCTGCCCCAGTGACAGCCTGCTCCAGCATCTTTGCTTTAATCTGTCCGTTTTCCCAATCTTTCAGAGACTGTTCTTCCCTTACCCTCAAACCACACCTGTTGTTTTTCTTATCTGGGTTTCCAAAGCACTTTCTTATAATATGGAACTTCTATACAAACAAGCCTGATAACCTCATTTGCATATAAATATCGGTTCTATAAGCAATTAAGTTCTCTATGTAGTCAGCTCTCTGTACCTGCAAGTTTCACACCTGCAATTCAACCAACCACAGACCAAAAACACTTGAAGAAAACTGTATGAGCTGAACACGAACAGACTTTTCTCTTTTCATTACTCCCTTCACAATGAGCATAACCACTCTTCACATAGCATTCACACTGTATTAAACCACTCTGTATTCACCCTGTATGAAGTAGTCCTAAGTCATCCCCAGGTGATGTGAAGTACATGGCAGGCTATGAAGAGGCTGCAGCCCAATACAGTACCATTCCCACAGGGATTTGGAATCTGTGGAGCTTAGTGTCTACAGGGGTCTTGGATGATGGAGAAGGTGTTATCTGTCCTCCTTCCTTTGAGGTTCTTGTGGTCATTAAAGAGCCTTTAATGTGCGGCCAGCTGCACTCTTTGCATAGCATGTGGCTGAATGAAAGAATAAAGCTCCAAAACATCTAAAAACAGCGTGGGGCTCTAGTCAGTCTTTTCTGACAAGGCAGCACATACCCTGTATGACATAATTTATGGTTAGGCTTGATTAAAAAAAAGTTAAACGGCTATATACTCATAAGGTCATTTAGCAATTTAAATAATGCCTCCAGGTATTTCCATGCCTGTTTGTATTAATGGGAAATGGTACTGCATTACAAATCTCCAGATTATTCCTATAGGTAAAGTATCTAATGGGAGATGTAATATTAGTGGATAAGGGTCAGGGGGCGGGCATCACTAGTGAATACAATGGGGTTGAGAAAACCTCTGAGCACACAGCATCATTGAGATGAAATTGTGAGTATGTAGATTCACACACCGGCAAAACTTTGTTATAATCAACTAATCAATAAAAACACATTTAAGTGTACATTGTTGAGTGTGTATATATATAGTTTTCTGTTTCATCAAACTTGGGTATAAAACTTGCACACGTATTTACCAGAAAACATCCAAGTCCACACCCCACTTATGCATCCATGCTTCCTGTAGCACCATTCACATAGGCTGAATTAAGAACCTGGCAGGGACCCAGTGAGTAGGTGAGGCAAGCTCTCTAGAAAGCTTCCCTTTCTAGCAAGGCTTTTCAGCCTCAGAGGAGGAGGAAGTCATGTGTCTGCAGGAAAATGAGCACATCTGGAGACCATCAATCATACTAAGCAAATTAGGTCATCTCAAAAAAGAAAAAAAAAAAAAAAACAAATACTCTATTTTTTTTTCACCCTGTGTAGTGTCTAGATTTTATACAAACAATATCACATATAAGTGTATCTATAAAATGACAGGGGCTGACTGTCGGGAGGGCCAAAGGGAAGGGGAGGGTGAGGAGAAGTGATGGCAGCTGGTAAAGTTTAGGGGGGAATATGCTCCATGAACAATAGCATCAAATAAAGACCTCAAGGCTACAGAAAAGGGCTGATGAGGGCTGACAAGATAGTTGCGTGGGTGACAGCGGCGATTAGACGTGACAACCTCTCCACCCACACTGTAGAAGATAACTGACACCTTGTAAGGCTGTCCTGACTTCCACATGAAGGCTGTCACTCACTCACATACTGATAAAGTACATAAATAAATGTAACATAGGAAAAGATAAACCTTAAAACAAGCAATTTAAAGACATTTAAAGCAAGTGTTAAGATTCTAAAAATTTCGGGGAAAGAAACTCATTAGAAAGGCAAGTCATTAATTGTAGCAGTTTGTCCTAGCAGAAATACAGCAAGATATACTAGTTAAAAGCACACACAAATCCAGTAGCATATACCTTTAATCGCATTGTTTGGGAGGCAGAGGCGGAGGCAGGAGGATCTCTGTGGGTTGGAAGCCAGCCTGGTCTATAGAGAGAGTTCCAGGACAGCCAGGGTTCTATAGTGAGACCCTGTCTCAAAAACATACAGAAACAAACAAATCCAAACCAGCCAGCCAGCCAAACAAACAAACAAGATAAGAAAAGCACGCTTAACTTTTTTTTGTGTAACCATCCAAGAAAACCCGACACTTTAATGGGGTATAATTCACTTGTGAGATAGTCTTACATTTTAAATCACTCTTGATTCACTTAATCCAGTGGGGGATGTAGACAGGTGTTCGGCTGAGAGTGTGCCGCCACGCTCACTCCTCAGTCTTGTGACAGAGACTCCCTGGGCTTCCACAGTATGCAGAAGCCGCACTTAGCTACCCCTCTGTGCTCGTTCTCCGATGGACCTGAGCACCCATCTCACAACGCTGCCACTCACCATGTCCTTCAGTGGCTGGATACTCTGGGACAATCTTTACTTGATACTGTAATGCCAGCAATATGTTCTCATTCCTATTATTACCCAAAGGAAATGCATAGAAATGCCACCAAGTATGTACTTTTCTAGGGACCTAGCAGAGATAAAAAACAAAACAAAACAAAACAAAACAAAACAAAACAAAACAAAACGCCATCTACAAAGACTCAGCTGAAGAAACAGAATCAGATTTTTTTTTCGGTGATAAAGAACAGGCTAAGAATAAATAAAAATGAATGGATTGTGGCTGGGGATACGGCTTAGTGGAAGGGCATGCCCACTAGATGTGAGGGCCTAAGTTTGATCCTCAGCACTTTAATAAACAGGAGAAACTCGAAACAAACTGCTTAAGAACATCGGTTTACGCACACATAGCACACTCTTCCAGCTGGAGCTGGCCACCAGCTGTCAATGTGACTCTCATGCCTGCTGCCTGGATAAGGTGGTTTCATTCCTGGGCTTGGACCTAGAGCCGTCATGTCCATGTCCAGGGCTCTAACACACCAGTGATGGAGCTGCTTCTGTGCCAGGCTGCCTGCCCGGCATACTGCTGCCAACATGTGGGCCCTGAAGAGGAGCCGTGTCATCAGAAGGGCCCGGGGGTTGGCCACGTCCAGAGCCTGACGGTAGAGCGTTCTAGAGGAGAACTGCACTAACTGCCAGAACAAAAGCTTTGGCTTGGTGCAGTTGGCTCACCTCAAAGAGAGGAACCCAGATGCGTAGACAGAGGACACCCTGCGCCTCATAAGGACCTCCTGACACAGGATTACCACCCTGGCACTCAGGGCAGACACAGCTGGCTTCAATAATACTACATAAGCAGGATTTTTGTTTGTTTTGGTGCTAGGTTTCATGCTAAATGCTATATTTTTATATAGTTTATATATAGTTATATATAGTTTATATGTATATATATATATATATATATATACACACACACACACATATCCATAATGCCATTAATATACTAAAATAGAAAACACAATTATATATAATATATTCTTATTTAACCACTATTATTATTATTATTATTATTATTATTATTATTATTATGTTATTTTCAAGATAAGAGTCTTATTCTGTAACTCTGGCTGTCCTGGAACTCAGTATGTAGACTAGACTGGGCTCAAACCACAGAGATCCACCTGTCTCTGCCTCCTGAGTGCTGGGACTAAAGGCATGTGCTACCATGACCAGCTACAACAGGTATTCTTATAAATATATAGACACATAAATGTACAGGCACACGGTAGCTTCACTAAGGTTCCATGCCAGAATCTGAATGATGCCTAGCTATAGCAAAAGCAAGCAACATCTGGCCCCATGTGAGCTCTCGGCTACAGCTTCAGCACCATGCCTGCCTGCCTGTCTGCCAGTTGCTGTGGTCCCCTCCATGATGGTGGTGGAACAGTGAGCCCCAAATTAAACACCTTTCCTAAGCTGCCTTGCTCATGGTGTTTTGTCATGATACCAGAACGGTATCTCCCCATTTCCCCTCAAGCCCCAACCTCACCCTTTCAGACGAAGCAGCCCTCACCATTTGCTAAAGCTTAGCTGAGCAAGATTTTTGTAGGTTCCTGTGAAAGCACAGCGGAAATGCAACCCCATTGCCAGTGCTGACAGAATGCCCCGCCTTGGGTCACAGACCCCAAGACTTCCATTTACTGAAGGGGACACTACATGCATTCTTCAGAAACCTTAAACATCTAATCGGTGAAAAACAGGTTCAAAAACATCTCCCGTACACCCCAGCCTTGAAATCCACTTCCTGGAAATATTTCATGCA